TGACAGCTGACCAAAACCACCAATTCCCCAATTAAACCCTTTATAAAACATTGCTCCTAAACAAATTTTCAAGGTAGTAGACCAGGAAGGCACCTGATCCTCAATAATAAATTTGTTTTTGGGTCCTCAATTGTGAAAAGTTTTTCCATTGGAAAAAATTGCTCATGGAATCTTCCTTTACTTAGGAAGCCATGGAAGCTGAGGAAGAAGCTGAAAGCTTGGGGCTTCTCTTGAGCTGAAGATCTGAGGCTGCAAAGCAAAAGGATTGCTGAGAACAATTACAAAGAACCTGAGAAAGGAAGCTGAATACAATCTATGAAAGGAAAATGAATACTACAATCAAGTACAAGAAGGAATTCTCACAGGAATCCAGATTTGTTTTGGTGATAGTTTATTATAGAGGACCTCCTGTTTGTTTGAGGGGGGGGGCCTATTTAAAAATCAGGCGCCAACATTACCGTGACCCGCGCTCACCCTTACACCGCACCTCTCACTCCTCGTCCATTCACACGGACTTGCCACCGCCCTAGCACCACTGCCCCCACCGCCGAGCTGGCGACCCATCCACACCACCTGCAGACCGACCGCCACTGGGGCGCGAACACGGTGAGCAATTCACCAGTTTTTCAAACACATTCAACCTACGGCGTGGAAACGGGTCGCAGGACTCCCTACTCCCGACATTCCGTGTCTTCCCCGCGCTCTTAGTCTACCATGGAGCCTTGGATTTTACCGTCCGCGCGCTTGGCAATGGTTATAAGTACATGTAAGTACACCAGTTTAGTCGAATCCGTGTTTACCGCCCGGGGTTCGGCTTTTTTTGCGATAGTAATACTGTAATAATGCTTTTTTCAACAAGTTAGAACAGACACGTTGTGTTTTGCGACAGTATCCGCTGAGTTTTGTTTCGTCGGATAAGTGTCTTTTTGGCGACGGTGCCTGCTAAGAGTTTTTTGCGTCGGTTCACCGGGTTTTTGCGCCTGTAGGATCACACAGGGTTGCGTCAAAAATGTCCTTGCAGCAACCAGTTATTGTCGCGCTTGCAGGCAAGCGCGAATCAATCGATTGGCGCGACCGCTCATCGAGGAGCGCGCGCCGTGCGCCAGCAATGCCACCAACACTGCGCACCGCGGACAGTGGGACGCTGAGCCTTGGTCCCGGAGCTGTGTCCCACGCACGTAGTAGAGGGCTGCGCGTGGGATGTGTTAAAAAAAAAGCGGGAGCGGGGCGCAGGGGCGCAGCGCCCCCCTTACTTGCAGGCGAGCGCGAATCTATCGATTGGCGCGACAGCTGGAGGAGCGTATTTGAATGAAAAGCCATGCGCCAACGTCGCCACAACACTGTGGACCACGCACAGTGAGATGCTGGAAACTCCCCACGCTTGCCCATTGATCTTCGAGGAAATTTCGCCGACGTCTCTATATGACGCCGCCAAGAAACTGACAGTGACATGGAGCAGCAAGCCGTGGAGACAGCAGAGAAGAGGCTAAAACGGGGGAGCAAAAAACCATGGGCTCTGGGAAATTTTCACGGTCAGGCCCGTCACTCTGCAGGTGAGGCTCAGGCTCAGGCAAATTGCCCGATCCACCCTCACATGGTTGCCACCCAGAACTTGGCTTCGAACCAGAAGAAGTTCCACTTCCCTTCATTTTCAGAGGGCAGGCCACCTTAGACCTAGCTCCTTTCTGCGCTGCCTGTGCATGTCGCTGTTCAGCCCCAGGTTCCTGCGCCGCAAAATAGTGAAACACTTACCCTTAAAAGAAATCTGTGGCCAGGCCTCTGGCAGCTCAGCCTTCTTCCTTTTCTTGACCATCTTGGGCCCACCAAAAAGCTGCGGAAGGACAACGTTCACAGCGCAATGCACACACACAAAACGCAACACATTTTGCATGGACATGAACACATGGCCAGACTCCCAAGCTCCCAGCGAAACAGCAAAAGTTGCAAAACAGCTGCGGTTTGTTAATCAAAGCTTCTCTGCATGTTTGCATGAAAAATAACTTGTTGTTCACATGTTGTTTGCTCACGCGGACACATGGTTGGCACACGCCTTCAGGGCACTCTTTGCAAACAATTTAATGTGTCTTTTTGTTGCTGTTGTTGTTGTTGCTGCTGCTGGTGCTGTCTGCATGCTGGGGCCTGCAAAGCCAGACATTGATATACTATGCCCTGAACCTGCAGGAGGCTACACATGACGAACAACAACTTTCCCACATTCTAAGAAACAGGCCTCTGCCTGGCAATTTAGGCCCGATCCTACCTAAAACCCCAGATCTGCAATCCTACCCAAAACCCCCCGAAACGTGACTCTGGGATTTGCTGGTCAATCCAAAACACACCGATCTCAACGCTTTCGCAATTGCACATCTCTCCACACAACTGCCACGCCCATTTCTGTTTACCTCAAGCTCCATTTCAACCGCTACACCGCCCAAGGAGCTTCCCACCAATCAGGCCATTTCGACACTGGCTCCACATCCACATCTTTAAAGCGAACGCAACCGTCGTGCCAAACTCCGCCAACTCAACAACAAACCCCCATCTCCGCAGAATTTTCCTTGCATCATGCGCATCATGCGTTACCGGGACTCCACTGGCGCTATTCCACCCACCTTTCCAACCACACCGACTACCACCAAGCCTGGGTTCAAGAACGCCTGTTCATCGCGAAATGGATGCCCTCCCTCAACTGGCCGTTCATCTCACGCCGCCTGCGCCTCAATCCTGATGGCCCGTCGCCGCCCTTTCTTCTGTCCGCGGCTTGCCAATCACCTTTGTGGGACAATGGTCGTAAGCCATTGCCGGGCTTCGCGTTGGAAGTCCTCATGAGCGAGGGAAAGGGATGGTGAGTGGTTGGTTGGACTTGGGTGGTGTCAGGTTGCGAAATTGAAGAGCTTGGTTGATGGTGTGAGTGTGAATGGCCTTGCTGCGGCCGGGTTCAAGGCTGGCGGCCACGCGTCTTAAGGCGTACGCTTTGAGGTCACTGTAGCGCCCGGCGCCCGAGGCGCAAGGCGCGGGTTGCAACGAAAATGGCGCGGGAAGACTTCTCGCAGGATAGTAAGCGCCTGTAGTTTGTGTGGTAGAGAGAACTGAGTGGCGAGCAGTGCACAACCTTTCGCTGCTAGGAACAAACTTTCCACCGTCCTCCTCGCGAGGAACAGCTTCCCTGCGCTTGCCATCATCTTCACACCCTGCTACATGACCCTAGCCACTCACTCCAGGAGAGATGGCCACACGTTCTCGAGCTCGCCGCCGCCGCTTTGCTTTCTCATTTACGTCGTTTCCTTGAAGCCAACATGAACAGCGCCTACTTCACCACCAAACACCAATACTTCCACACGTTCACCTCGGCCTTCACCAAATGGTTTAAGCACCACGGCTTACCACCTGTGGAATCTCCACATCCAACAACTGCGCACCGAATCCATTTTACAATTCCTTGGCGACCAAGTGGTCCTGCGACATGCCGACCATGAGCTCCAGCACCTTCGGGTCTTTTGTGCGGCTCTACTTCAGAGGATGGCGTGCGTCTGAACTTTTTCAACTACAACCGCACCACGTACCAGAAACCCTGCATCACCACCTATCCACTGCGTTTTAGTCAGATCTCCGCCGCAAGTACAAGTGGACCATACGGTATCGTGCGCTTGAAGCGCAAAAAGGCTTGGAAGAAAGGCTGCGCCATCATCTCTTATTCCCGATCCGCCCGCGGCATCCTACTGTGCGCGGCCTCCTCGGCCATCAACACCATGCTTCTCAATCTCTTGCCTCAACATCCTGGCCAACTATGCTATTCCTCAACTATGGCAACACTTCCATCGCTACCTCGACACCACTCCCACTCACATTTCCTTGCACGTGACCTTGTGGGATTCTTCAGCAGCCTCATCACCAAATAGAACCTTATTCACACCACCTCCACACTCACCATCGACAATGCCACGGGCAAGCCCATCCAACACTCCGCACTTGACACTTTGGGCATGCCACACGTTGCCCACCATGCCCTCAACGCCTGCGTTTTCCAGGCCTGCGCCACAACGTTCCAGCAAACCAGAGGAGCTGGCGTAGACTCCCAACTCTCCCCCGCACTTGGCAACATTGCGATCACCTTGATCGAGCGCTCGTGGACTCAACCGCACGCACCTTTTTTGGACCACGCCCAAATCCACTTCACCTATTACCGGTATGTCGATAACCGGGTAATAACATTCAACGAAACCTTCCTCGCCCACATTTGCCCAGATTTCTTTGGCAACCCAGTGGAACTCGAGACCGTCGACGACTGCCACCTGCTCAGGGTTCACCCTCGACCTAGCATCCAACCCACCGCTCATGGAAATTCGAGATCACGCCGCCGCCGGATCTACCAGACTTCGGCTATCCGGTCTTAGTCTTGCTTCCCGGATGCATGCCATCAAGCGGTACTCATACCCTAGCACCATGATCGCAGAGGCTATATATCAACCTCTACGCCCAAAAAGGGTGCATTCCCAGAGAGTGTCAACTGCGGATCCCGCGGGAAACAGCCAGCCCGACCTTGCGTGCGCGTTTGCCTTGCTATCTACGGTGCGCCGATACGGTTTTAGGTGTGTAAGGGAATCACACACACTCCTACTTTACTCCTAACTGGCTTCTTAATTCACAAACTTTTAATTCAAATTGTGCAGCATTGCAGGGGGCAGTAGCCAATGAAGCTACTCATGAGTTGGGAAGATATCGGAGCTGATCACTCCGACGTGCTTGCACTCCAATTTTTTTTGTGGTGTTTATGAAGGCTGTAACTCCAATTTTCCCGTAAAGGGCTAACGCGTGTGTTCAACATGTATGTTTCTCGGACCTTCCGCCTTTCTGTTCCCTCAGCCAAGGTCCAATTGCATTAACGGTCTGGTTGCAGTAACGCTAAATCTTCGAAACTTACCCTTGCTCTTCGGAGCTCTCTATCTAAGTGTGTGTGTGTGTGTGTTTGAGGGGGTTGTTCTTTGCGTTTTGCTATGCAGGCGCGTTTAGCTTGGCTTTTGGATGCCTCGGGTGGCCCACCGAAGGCCTGTGCGTGTAGAATATTGTCCGGCTTTGAGTTTTCCCACTGGGAATGCCCCAGGTAAAGTGTTCATGGCTGTGTCACACCCAGCGTGAAACTGCTAGATGGTGGCCAGCCACGTGATGTGGCAGCAGTTGCTACAAGGTCCGAGTCAATCAAGCGCCACGGTGATCATAGCAGCGGGCAGGCAAGGACAGAAGATGTGGATTGAGTGCTGCAGACTTTGTGCGACCAGCAGTAGGCCAAAAATGGTGACATTTCCACCCTCCAGAGCTTGCAAAGTCACCTTGAGCGCGCGACTGGTTGACACAGTGTTTTTGGGGTTCCGTGTTTGCGTGATGCATTTTTACTCCTATACCCGTTAGTGCTTCAACAGAGTGTCTCACTGGTTGGCGGAATGGAAGGTTTGAGCTAGTTACAGCCAGTAATCCATTAGGAGAGTAAGTCCCTGGCGGTGGGGCAAGGGCCAACAGCCAAGGCGAAGAGGGAGCTTTGCCACCAAAGCGCTGGACAACGCCAGGAGGCCTTTACGTGTGGCCCATTGGCGTGCATAGCCGGTCGCATTTTGCAACGTATGCTGCAGGACCATGGGGAGACAGTGCGGAACATGGAACTGCGTCTTGATTTTTGATAGAGGCGAAGCAGCGCAAAAACTATTTGGTTTGAAATGTCTACACTGAGGGTAGCACAGCAGCTTGCTGAACAACGAATGCAGCTCTACCAAAAGCACCAAGAAGAAGTCATTTTCTTGAAAGATCAAGAGGTGCCTGTGGCCTTTCAGTTTCCAGCTGATTGTTTTGCAATGTTGCCTTGGTTCCCGCAATGCGCGTAGCCGGCTGTCGTGGACCATTCAGACTTGACTAGAGGTGAAATCCCGCTCAAGAAACTAGACGTGAAGGACACAAATGTAGAGACTTCATGAGACGTCACAGTCACGACTTCAAATTTCTCAAGTAGAGATCCTCACTGACTCACTGAAAAGTAGAGAAGAAACACAGGTTTCTTCAGAATTGCGCTGGCAATGGCCTGGTCTTGTGTAAAATTGTCCAAAACGCTGCGTTTCCACACGGATTAGATGCAAGATTGCAATAAAACCGAAAGATAAACTTACGTTGAGGAAGTTAAGCTTCCAGGGATTCCACTGGGTGTGATCAACGTATTACAAACTATGAATACATTGAAAACTAGTAAAAAATATATTCCAAAATAGGAACAATTAGGAACAATAGGAAACAAATTACTGTAGAAGAAAAAGAACCAGAAGCGAAACAAAAAGGAACGAGACGACATGGACGAAACAAAGAAGCAGCTAGAAAGGAAAAACGAGGAAACGCAACCATGAGCAAGAAGCTGCTAGGGGCTCCTGGCCATACTACTAAGAGCAAAGACGCTACTAGGAGCAAAGGGCATCGCAACTAGGAGCAAGGACGCTACTAGTATGGTCATGGTCAAGGCGGAATTAGGTGGGAGGTGGGTCGGCCGTGAGAGGCATGGGTCCAGGCCAGCAAGGACCCCACAAAATTCCATTCTGGACCCGGTCCGACCCGAAAGCGGCTCGCCTTTCCAAAAATGGGACACTAGCAAAAAATCACTGAAAATAATTAGGAAACATATGAACCACATAGGAAAATGGATTCCTTTAAAGATTCTGTAAAAAAATCTGACAATTATCAAACAGCCCTGACCATTCCCCGCCGTCTCCCCCCTGACCCCCACCCTCCCTTGAAAACTTTTGATTGTTTAGACCGCCTTACCTCTTCAGATTTTGATTCTGTGCTTGTGACCTTTATTGCGGTATCCTTGCTTCTGTTTTTTTCCTTCTTGCCTGACGATTTGCTTTGTGTTTTCTAGTTTTTTTTGTGCCCTGTTTGTTCATATTTTGTGTCCTATGCATGTCCTAATTTTTGCTCAGTTTATTCTACGATTTTTCCTTGGCTTTCCTAACTATTAAATTGCAATTTTGAATGCCGAGCTTCATTCAGCTCAACAAAAAGATAAGCTTTGGAGTGTCAGTTCAACACTGCTCAATTGCGTCAAGAATAACTGGTCTAATGGAAAATCAAGAGAACCCCTCACACCCGTTTCAAAAGGCAGGTAACTGCGTAGGTGGGTGCCTGGGACTCGTGCGGCGTTCGGCTCGAAAATGCTCACTCGGCGCTTGCCTCAGTGTAGCCATGGTTTTCAAAAGTGCAGATGCTTTGTTGCTTGTGTTGGTGTTTCCTCCCAAAAAAGTTTACCTTTGTTGGTGTTTGCAGAGTCTTGTTGCTGTTAGAAGACATTGTCACGGGTGCACCAGATGAAAGTAATAAGAGCAGGAGTTAGACATTGAAAGGGAAGGTTGTTAGTGGAAAGCTGTGAGCATGGACATACAAGGCAGTTCTAAGCCCTTTTCCCGTCGCGGATTGCAGATGATGTCGCACTTCTGAAGAATTTGCATAAAGGTTCTCACGACGCTCACGAGTTCGTTCCCACGATGCCAATACTGGCCATGCATAACTCCAGGAAGTTTGAGTTTGTAGACCCTTGCTGCGTCAGTGTGTAAGAAGCCAAAATAGGCCCAGGTGTGCGACGAGCCACGAGAGGAACGAAACTTTTGGGTTTTGCCCGAAATGTCACGCTTGTCGAACGTGGCCTTCGACAACTTCGACAATGGCCCATTTCATAGAAGCCCCAAAGTTATCCCCTTCTCCTTGGCAAGAACGTGTTTGTGCAGCAGTCTAAAATTTTCCGCGTCAGCTCCATGACTTTTGTGGCCAACACCAAGAATCAGATGGATAGCATTGTGAGAGACACGAAGAAACAAAAGAAGAAGCACAGCTGAGTGGGTTTGCGGGGACAAAGCCTCAGGGCCACGACAGGCTTGAAAAATGGATGTAAGAACTGCGAGTCCTTTGCTGACAAGCGTTGATGGTGCATCGATGTTTCGGCTTGGCTTTTGGAATGCATTTTCAACAATTAGAGCTAGCATCCCTTTGTTACACTTTGGGCAAGCCCAATTTGGCAACAACTTGTCAACTTGTCTTTCACCAAGATGAGAACTATATTCTTGTCCGAAGCCGTCAGGAGTTCTGGCACAGTGCGCAGCCACTGTTGGTATTCTTACCGTCAGCTTCAGTGGCCCCAACACAACAGTTTCACCGGGCAACGACCAACCGATGGTGTCGGGCATAGAAACCCATGGGGGCCCAAACGCGGGGATATGATTATGAGAAGATTGCTGAGGAGCTGTGTGGACTTGAGGTAGTCCATAACCTTCTAGGTCCTAAGACCACGGCCTTGATAGTCAAACATGCAACAGATACTTTGATGAATTATGTTTCCAGAGCCTGGTTAAAGAAAGCAATGCCAAACTGGAGAAATTGCAAAGCAACTGCAATCAGGTAGCTTCTTTGAACATGTCCTTGATTGTACGCGAGGTCCCCCTGCAAGAAATGCTGAGGTAGACAGACAACTCGCATGTTGTTAGCGGGTGCACACTTATAGACACAGCGGTGCTTTCGTCGCCCCCTTAGTGTCGGCAAACTGAGGATTTTTAGAAGACTGCATACAGATACGATGCAGCGACCCCCGCACACACGTTCATACACCTGCATGAAGATACATGCAACAGGCACACGAGTGGGCGCATAGATGTAGACACCTACCCACCCACCTTCCTACCTCCCTACCTTCTATGCACTCACGTTCGCCCATACGTTTGTGCACTTCCATGTGGTCACGTCATTCACGTTCATATACGCAGGCAAACAGGATGTGTAGTTCGCGAAGATTTCTCAAGAGACAACTGAGGGGAGTTTCTATTGCAAATGACAGGGTTTATGTAGTAGTTGAATGTAGTTGGCCTGTGATTTGTTTGCGCAAGCACATTCGCTAGGGGGCGTACTGTATATAGGCCTGCTTAGGCGTTTTTTTTTGGATATCTTCGCGTAGGCGTCTTGCGTCTTGCATAGGTGCCCCTTTTTGTAATAATTGATTGTTTGAATGTGGTGCATCTCATGGGACCGGGTGCTGTGCCCTTGCTCGCCCAGTTTTTGGACAGGGTTCGTATTAGCAAGGAGTTGCAGCCGCAGCCTTTGTTTTTTCGATTTGGGCATGCATAAGGGTAGTAATGTTGGATCCTGATTAGTAAATGGTACCTCTATAATGCTAATTTTCCAATTTTATTCAGACCCCCCTGTTTGAAAAATGGTACCTCTATAATGCTTTTTTTTGGGGGGGCCCCTAAATTTTTATATTGGAAACCCAATAAATCAGGGTTAGAATTCCTTCTGAGGCCAATGATTATGATTCATTAGCTGATATAGCTTTCTCTAGGCTTCTTCAAAACTGACAGCTGACCAAAACCACC